AAGCGGCGCTTCCCGGGCCGAGCCCCGCCACTCTCCTCTCGCCGCCCAGATGATAAATAAAGGGTAGGGACGGCGGCTCGGCGCTCGCCCTTTTGGCCGCCCCGTAAGGCTCGGCGGAGGGAGGTTGGTGGCGGCAGAGAGGCAGGCAGCGCGCGGGGCAGCCCCAGGTGGGGGCCTGAAGGAGGGCGGCCGTGCTCGGGTTACCGGCGGGGTGCGGAGGCGGAAGTGGCTGAGGGAAGGGGGGGGGGGGGGCGCCGTGTGGTGCCGCGTGACGTCACCGCCGTGACGGTTTTTGCCCGTGCGGCCTCACATCGCGTCACGCTGCCCGGGCTGACGTAAAATTGTTGTTTCTTGAGGCTATGGGACCACCTGCCCTCTGCCACAGGAAATTTTGGGGCAGAAAACCCCAAATTCCCTCACAATGTGTGTCCCGTACAGCCCTGGCTGTGAGGCGGCCCCAAATTATACCCCACCTGAAACCCCTGGCACAGTCCAGCCTCAATAAGTGTTGGTTTTTGGGTTAAAATCCAGTTGCTTAAGCACTCAGGTGTTTATTTTCATAGAATAACAGAATCATTAAGGTTGGAAAAGATGACCTGGTCCAACCAGCCCCTACCACCAATGTCACCCACCAAACCATGTCCCCAAGCACCACGTCCAACCTCTCCTTGAACACCCCCAGGGACGGGGACTCCACCACCTCCCTGGGCAACCCGTCCCAGTGCCCGACTGCTCTTTCTGAGCAGAAATGGCTCCTCATTGCCAACCTGAACCTCCCCTGGTGCAACTTGAGGCCATTCCCTCTGGTCCTATCACTGGTTACCTGTGAGAAGAGACCAACCCCCAGTTCCCCACACCTTCCTTTGAGGCAGTTGCAGAGAGCAATGAGGTCTGCCCTGAGCCTCCTCTTCTCCAGACCAAACACCCCCAGTTCCCTCAGCCACTCCTCACAGGACTTGTGCTCCAGGACCTTCACCAGTTTCGTAGCCCTTCTCCTGACATCTTCCAGGGCCTCCATGTCCTGGTACTGAAGGGCCCAAGCACTCTGGCTCCTGTGAGCCATCACTTAGGTGCAGTGAGGTTTGTTTGTAAGCCTCCAGGCTTAGGGTGAGCACACAAACACCTGGTCGCAACATGTGGGCCAGGCCTCAAGGGACAAAATGAGATTATTCCACTGTTAAACCCACTCTCAGTCACAAGGAAGAGGCAAAGAAGCAGTCCAAAATGAGATTATTCATCTGTTAAACCCACTTTATTCACAGGGAAGAGGCAGCCCAAATACAAGACTGCTTACCGACTCAGTTTTTGGTGTACTCTGCCAGCCAGTATGAGGCTGGACAGGTTTTTTTCCAGGAAAGAGCTCTCCTCCTGCTGTTCATGCCTCATTTTGCAGACACATCTGAAAATCTCCATCTGGAAAAGTTTATGAATATTTGAAGGGGTGAAGTCATGCTTCTTATTTACATTGATTGTTGAAGTGTTTTTGCGGCACAGAGATTTCATTTGCCTCCCAAGATGGTTACTGGGTTGCTTAGACTGATTTGCTAGAATGGGGAAGATCCATGTGATGTGCTAAATGGTGAAAAGATGGGTTAAAAGGGGAGGACATCTGCAAACATATTAGTGTTTTTGGAACAACACCAATAACAGCTTTTCTGTTATGGTTCAAAAAAGGCAGTCTCAGCAGTATATTAGGGCTAAATTGCAGGTTCAGTGGCCTTACATCAAGAAATGTTGGCTTCTTTTATTCTGAAAAATGGTATTGCCACCTTTTCTAGCATGAATAAAATGTATGATCACTAAAATTGTGAAACAGTTGTACCTTCTGTATTTACATCACACCAGCCACAGCTACAACTTGTTGGAACTCTCTTTGGTAAAGGCACTGCACATAAACACTGTTACAGCTTTGATAGATCAGAAAGCTTTTCCTTATCAAGTATCTATTTCATCTGTGGCTGCTTAAATACTGATCAGGTTTTCCTATTAATTTACCTAAAAAAATAAAAAATAAATCCATGCGGATCTCATTACCTAAATTTCAGATGTAAAGTGTGTCTTTCAGTTTTTTAATTCTTGAAGCTCTTCCTGACTTTTTCAGTATGTTTCTTCAATTACTGGCACCAAAGATGCACACCGTTCAGAGAGTAATTGCACTCATGCCAAGTACTGGCCTTATGCAGAATCTGTAGGTGTGCTCAGTATTTGCCTTGTAGCCAAATACAGAAAATTATCTTTTTTTGCCAAGTGAGCTGATATTCACATAACTTTTTCAGATCCATCTGTTTTATTCCTGTGATTTTTTGCGATTATTTATAGTCACTGTTTCCTGGAAAGGAGCTACATTTTGGTACGCATACTTTTTCAAGGTGTACAAACATATGTCTGATCCAGTTTGCCCAGGGAAGTGGTGGAGTCACCATCCCTGGAGGTCTTTAAAAGACGTTTAGATGTAGAGCTTAGGGATATGGTTTAGTGGAGGACTGTTAGTGTTAGGTCAGAGGTTGGACTTGATGATCTTGAGGTTTCTTCCAACCTAGAAATTCTGTGATTCTGTGATTCTGTTAAATCACATTTGCTTATGTCCAGTCCAGCTTAGCATTCAGAGCCAAGATAACCTCTCTTCACCACTTAACTCCAGCTGACAAACCTTGTCAGGGTATACTGCATGGGAAATTTTGGGGTTGATAGAAGTACTAAAGTGCCATTCCTTTAAAATGCACCCATCTGATGATGATGTTCAATTTAAAATGCTGCAAGTTTAGTCTGCTAGGTAGTCAGCTCTATTTTGCACATCGCTTTTGAAATATTTCTAATTTTCTTAACCAAGACATGTGGTAGAACTGAATCAGCCTCATACAGGAGCCTTCTCTCAGGCAGCCTCTCTGCCTCTGCTGGCAGAGTCAGGCCAGAACAGTCCCATTGAGGAGCCAGAGCACGTGGACTTAGCAGTGGTGTTTCTGCTGGCACGGGTACCATCTTCTGACACTTAAGACATGAGCCAAAGTCAACAGAGCCTCTCTTTTATTACCCTAGATATAGTTACAGCAAGACTTTTCCCACAGGTAATCACGTCTCAGACAAGACGGTTATGCTGGCAAAAGTCTGTAAAGCACTTTACATCTTTAATTTTAATTTTTAATCACAAACAAATAAACAAAACCAACACACAACTCAACAGATAGACTTGATGAGATATATATTCCATAAACTCACACTTAGACTTGATTAAGGCAGTAAGTAAACCCTTATATATGCAAATATTCTATTACTCCTCTGGGATCCAGACTGTGTGGCTGAACCGCCGAATTTGGTCTTTCATAGCTCTGGAAGATTTTTAATGTTCAGCCCCATGCGTATCGGTGTTAATTGAGAAATACTCAACTAGCTCTTTATCTGCTTCGACGCAAAACCACGCTGATACCTGCTATTTGCTTAGGGACTGTGGAAAAGTATTTCATCATCCGTCTGCAACATTTGTGGGTTTTCCCTAGTGCAGAAAATTATTAAACTACATCGGCATTTTCTGCCTCTCTACAAAATGATGGTTTCTTTATCCTAATGTACACTAAAAATTGATACTAAAAACCATGTCCTTTATTCTGTTGCGGTGTCATCTGTCTTTCTGTGGCAGTAGCTTTTGGTTTTCTTTGCAGCTTTGAAGCTCGTTCCCTTTTTTTGCCCTCCCAGACTGGCTTTTACAAAGCTGCACCAAACCAACCATCCCACCCGCAAGGAAGACAAGCGGCCCCCATCCAGGAACTGTAAATAGTGTAAGATCCCTGGCCAGCTGTGGTGTCACAACCCATTCGGTTGCAAAATCCAGTTCCACCTGTTCCAACAGCACGTAGCCACTGTTTGATTTGAAGAAAGAAATTCTCTCTTCGATTTGATTTCCCCGTTGCGCAGGCAATCTACAAAGCAGGCTTGGTTATCTTTTTTCCACAGGCTCAGCCAAGCCGGCGCCTCTCCTGCCTCTGGCCTGCACTCACACAAAGCTTACACGAAGCTTTTAGGTTTTGTTCAAACCTCAATTCTCCTCAGCTCTTGTATTTTTTGGTAGGTTTTCCAGAGGTGGTAATGTTAATATGTCTTTTGCCAGTCTAATCACAATCCAGCGTAACAAATGCACAGGTTTAAACTTTGATACTGAACCCATTGTGGCATTTTAACAGGGGATTCCAGGATACTGGGATGTGTTTCTGAAGTCACCTAAGGGGGCAGAAAGAGACTGAACACACACAGAGAACACCTAAGGAATCAGACTGATCACACAGAGATGACCTAAGGAATCACAAAATACACAGAGGAGATCACCTGAGGAATCAGACTGAACGCACAAAGGAGAAAAGTTGCCTGCAGTACCTAAAATATGTAATGGGCCATTTTGGTCTTTTATTTCTTGTTTTTCACTTTACATGGTCTTTCAAGTGCCATAGTTAACATCTGGAAATTGATAACAGTTCTGGGATACTGACTGGAAGGACGAGGGGGAACAGGCTGAAGTTGCACCAGGGGAGGTTTAGGTTGGGTGTTAGGAAGAACAGCTTTACCGAAAGGGTTGTGAGGCATTGGAATGGGCTGCCCAGGGAGGTGGAGTCACCTCCCTGGAGGTCTTTAAAAGACATTTAGATGTAGAGCTTAGTGATATGGTTTAGTGGGGACTGTTAGTGTTAGGTCAGAGGTTGGACTCAGTGATCTTGGAGGTCTCTTCTATCCTAGACAATTCTGTGATTCTGCGACACAAACACGACTGAAAACCCTTGCAGCAACACTCTGAGGAGCTCAAACCTTCCACTCCAAGCCCCTCTTTGGTGACCACTGAACTCAGTAACAACCACAGCGTGCCTGCCCCCGACCCACAGGGCAGAAAACGGGCGGAAAACCTCCCCCCCTCCGCCAGCTGCACAACACCAGGCTCAGCTCCCTGCCTCTCCCCCAGCCCCAGGGCTCCCTCAGGGCTCGGGGCGGGCGGCTCCGTGCTCCTCCCCGCCGAGCCCGGGGGCGGTGGCGGCGGCGAGGCGGGCGGTTGGCTGCGGGCAGCCCGGTGCTAGCGGAGGCCATGGCGGCTGCGGGCCGGGCGGGCAGCGCCGTGTGGGGCTGGCCATGGCGGGCCGGGCTGCGGCGCTGGTACCGCACGGAACGAGGCGTGTACGGCTACAGGCCTCGGAAGGCGGCCGGGGAGAGCTCGGCAGAGCCTCGGAGAGCCGGGGAGAGCGGCGGAGCAGGTCCGGGGGGGGAGCCCGTAGCCCTCCCGCGGCACCGGGCTGAGGGGAGGGCGGCTCAGGCGGTGCGGGGGGACCGCGGCTGGGACGGGCTTGGCTTGGTTTGGTTTTTGTTTGTTTCATGATTTCTTATTTTATTTCGTTTCTTTGTTTTTTCAATTCGTTTTATTAATTTTTATTTAATTTTATTCGTTTTTTTATTTTATTTCACATTATTTCATTTTATGTCACCGTTTTTATGTCACTTTGCTTCATTTTATTATTTTAATGTTTATTTTACCTCATTTTTTTCACACTTTATCATTTTACCTCAATTTAATTTTTAATCTCATTCTTTCCTGTATTTCACTTTTTCATTTTTTACTTCATTTAATTTTTTTTTACTTCATTATTTTTCATTTCATCATTTTTCATCTCATTTTATTATTTTATTTCATTTTATTTCTTTTTATTATTTTTATTTCATTTCATTCTTCTCAGCCTTGCCGAGCCAACACATCTCTGTGACAGCTTCAGGGGGCTTGGGGCTGTTTTTCCTTGTCCTGAGTCAGTTTTTCTGTTACCTGCCCTGCCGATGATTGTCTGCGAGCAGCTTGAGTCCTTATCACAAAGTTGTTTTCTTCGGTTCCCCATGAAGCGTGCTGATACCTTGCCAAACTCCATGGGCAGAAATAATTGTGCTTGGGCTGCACGGACTGCCCGAAATCACATTGGTCAAGTAAATGTGCTCCCGGAGAGATTTTCCTGCTCATAAAAGTACCAGTGTCATGTGCCTTAAGTTTTATATTAATATATTATTGGGCATAAAGTAGCTAACTACAGCTAATTCTCTTCTATAGCAGTGACTGTGATGCTTTTAGCCCACTTTTATAGCACAGAAAAATAATTTTGAGCAGAAAGCTGCTGTAGGAGCTCCCTGCATCAGTCCTCTGCTAGGCTTAATTCATTAAGCCTCCTCCTCATGAAGGAAGGAAAGCGTTAATATATTTTTATACCACGTTTTAAAATTGCTTCTAATTGTCTTTCTTGCTGTAAGCATTGAGGGAGCAACCTGTTTGAAGGCCCCTGACTACAGGAGAGGAGCAGCTGAACCAGTGCCAGCAGCTGAAATACAGAGAGCAAAGAAACAACTTTGTGAAATACTCTCGCTCCGAAATTACATGGTTTTGGAAAATGAAAAACTACACACCTGGATACTGTCAGCACTGTGTCTTTATCAGGGATAACAGACCGTGCTAGAAACACATTATAAAAAATTATAATCCAGTATAAGCTAATTCATTTGTAGCAGATTCTGTGTGCTATGTTTTCTATTGAATATATGTTTGATGAAAAGTATGTTCACGTATTTGAATGTCTAGTATGTTTGACTCAGCATGGGCACTTGCCGTTGGCTAGTGGCTTGTGCAGACACAGACTTTTTAAGCTTTAGGAAATGAATTATTATCAAGACCCTATCTTCCTGTCATCCCAGCAAGGAACAGGGTAGCATAAGTGTTATGATCGAGTCAGCTCAGGAAATAAGACTTTGCACACTGGTACCTTAGCGTTCTGGAGCTGGACGTACCCATTGCCATAAAGAGACTAAAAGCAAAATGAAGTAGCTTTGCATATGTGTACAGGAGTATGACTGTGAGGGCAGTCAAGAGGGAAATGTAAACTTGCTTGAAAATCTGATAAATAAGCAGATACAGCAGTTTGGTGATAGGAGCTCTTGTGGGGTGATACAGTTAAAAACCTGCTTAGGAAAAACCTTTCCAGCTCAAAGCTTGATGGTTATCGATGGACAGAGTGCTCCTCTGCTGGTACTGTAAATGGATTAAATGTGAGCATGTGCTATACCATTCTGCTTTCTTTTTGTGTTTAGTTGACCATGCTCTTGCTCGGTTAATAACTGCGTACTCTGAACATGGCCACAAAGCAGCCAAAATAAACCCACTGTGTGCTGGCCAAGCTGTTATGAACATGGTACCTGAAATCCGAGAATTGACAGAAGTTCTTCAAGGCCCTCTCATTACTACAGGTAAGTCTGCAGCCTTATTGCAGCAAGTTTTTCTCCTGGCTGGTTTATTGAGAGGCTGCGTACTTTGCAGACCAGCCAAATACTGAAGAGCAGTTCAATCAGTAATGTATTGTTGGACAAAAGGCTATTAACTTCAACCTACTTACATGTTTGCACAAATCATTGTGTAATGAATGGCTACCTCCTAGCATCTTCAGTAACCATGAAAAAATTTAATTGCACTTAAAACTGCTGAGGTTGTACATTAATTTCTGTAACGTTCTATGATTTAGCATTTTTTTGACACTGTGGTGAAGCTGTCATGGCACTTGGGTAGAAGTCAAGATTTGTCTTTTCTCAGATCTTTGACTCTTACTGTGGCCTTGACAAAATGAGGGTCTCTCTCCATGCTATATTTTCTCCATCTATGAAATGGCATTTACTGCCTCTGATGCATATAGGATTGGAACTCATCTCTCTGAGCAACAAAACGAATGCTATGCCAGTCACAAAAACAGTCTCTCGGTGTCATCCACATTGAACTCATTCAGGACATTTTGAGCACCTTGCAAATAAGCATGAGACCCTCCTGTTATAAGCACACTTGAGTGTTATTAATTTTTTTCTTGAATTTTTAATTTAAATGAAGGAAAGGAAATCAGGACATGAATTTGTAGTCTCAAAATCTTGATGTAATTGCAAGATGTCAGCTTATTTCTTAGTGCTTCCCCCCATCTCCCCACAAGTGACTTAATAACATTTATTTCTGACCAGGGCTTCTAAACATGGGAAAAGAAGAGGCCTCCCTGGAGGATGTATTGGCTTACCTTGACCATATATACTGCGGGCATATTTCCATAGAAACAAGCCAGCTTCCAACCTCAGAGGAGAGAAAATGGTTTGCTAAAAGGTTTGAAGAGTTAAAACAAGAAGCGTTTACAACTGAAGAGAAAAAGCACTTGTGCAAACTGATGTTGGAGTCCCAGGTACTTTGTTAACTATTATTTGATTCTAACAGAGTTGCAGAGTCTGTTTTGGATCCCCTGCTGCTCTGGACATTATCTGCTCAGGAAAAGAAGAATCACTACCCTAAAAGGTTTGACAGGGTCCAAGAAGAAGAAGAACAAGGTTTTGCCCCAAAAAGTGCAATGTGTAAATGCAGGAATCTCCACTGGGAGTCATTGCTGAATTTACTTAGCAGCCATTATTGAAACATAGAGCAATGCTTTTTGATTTGCATTGATTTATTTGGAAATTATTTGGAGAAAAATATTTCCAACGAGATACAAACTCCAAAGGCGCTTAGAACTAATTAGAACATACATTACATGAATGTATCTCACAGACAATATATATTCCTTGACATCTGGAGACAGAAGTAATGACCCTACAAACCTGAGAGTAATCAGTCTTAGAAAGTGAGACTCTCTCCAACTAGTGATTTGACAGCGTATATTAAAAGTTACTGGTTGGAACACAAGGTTGGGCACAACTACATGAAATTTTTGCTCTGTGTTTTCCTTTCACCCTCAGCTATATCCATCTGTTTTACTAGCTTTAAAGCACAGTGTTTGTCAAGAGTTTGGGAGAACAAAACAGAGTTGTACTGAGGGTTTAGCCATGTAGTTGTGGTAAGTTTGCTGCTTTTCAGCAGAGGAACGTGTATCCAGTACATTCTGTAATGAAGTAAAAGATTTATGTACTTTCAAAGTGTGCAGAGACAAATATTTCTTTCCTGTGCAAAAGTTCAGTTTTCCCCTTCCCTCTTCCTGTGGTATCTAGAGGGATGGAAATGTAGAAGATGAGGATCTGTGAAAGTGTCCCTGTTTCCAGTTTTCTGAGTGGAAGGAGTGTTAAATGTAATATAAACCATGACTAAACAGAAGTATATGACACATCTCATATTTTTCTTGCCTGTTTGACAATTAAAAAAATTTGTTAGTGACACAGGAGGGTGAAAAGTGACATCAGGACCTTGAGGAATCCCATATTACCTTCAGTATGACCAGAACTGTACTTAGAGTGTAGAATTTTAACTGTCAGGAAAAGTGTTTCCGTGTGTGATCAGTTTTGTATGTGTTCTTTAGAATTAAATGTTGCTTAACTAGAAGGTGTTCAGGAGTTGGCTTGGATCTTTGGCTGTGACTCAGTCTTCCCTTCTCAGTTACAGTCTTCGTTTATTTTCAGTCTTCAGTTGCAAAACACTGCAGACACTTCGATTGCTTCCAAAACTTTGTCACTTAAGAGAGCTGTCTAGGAATAGTGAAGTGGGAGGAGTGAAAGGAAAATACTGGAAATACAGATTCCTTTATTTTCCTTCTTTCAAGAATTCTTTTAACTATGTACTAAAGATTGTGTCCAATGTAATCAAAGTGAAACTGCTTCTCTAGCGCTTGACATCTCAGGATACTTAAGGCTTCTGCTGTAAAAGTACTTACTTTACCATTGTTTTACTGTAAAATTACTTATATTACCATTCCTTAATTTTCACTTAAGCCAGGTAAACTGTTAAGAAATTGGTAAATTGCTCTCATGTAGTTCTGTATCTACCTCCTTTCCATGTTGGTGCCACTTTGGCCCTCAATCCAGAATTTGTTCTGCCTAAAAGGAGAAAAGTACATGTAGACATCATGGCTTCTGGTCTTAGACTGGGGTGGTGGAGAATGAGCTGGGACTTTCAAGGGTTATGCTTAGGTTTGTCCAGCTACAAAAGTAAATGATATTTCAATTTTGTAAACAGAATACTGCTTGGCATAGCATAATACTGAAGTTCTCCTGTTTTTAACAGGAGTTTGATCGCTTCTTAGCCACGAAGTTTGCCACAGTGAAGCGATACGGCTGGTGAAGGAGCAGAGAGTATGATGGGTTTCTTCCACGAGCTGTTCAAGATGTGTGCGTACAGTGGCGTGACAGACATCATCCTCGGAATGCCCCATCGTGGGAGACTTAACCTGCTCACGGGCTTACTTCAGCTTCCACCCGAAGTAAGAGATTTATTGGTAGTTGCTATGTGCCTGGTTTATTTGCAATGAATGAATAACCCCAAAATTTGTTTTGTTCTGAATGCTGGAACAATCAAAGTTACCTTTGTGAGAGGGTATTCTGCTCCTATCAGTACATCTGCCTGAGAGACTGGCAAAAGAACTATAATAAAGTTATTTTTTTTTGTGCTGGTATCTTAAGCAAATGTGCTGTTTCAGGAGTAGGAAAGCATATGATCCTGGAAATGTTTTTCTTTTATTGTGTCTGTGAATTGGAAAGGGGATTTAACCAAGGTTTTTTTTGTTTTGTTTTGTTTTTCCATGCAGCTCATGTTCCGTAAGATGCGTGGTTTGAGTGAGTTTCCAGAGAATTCACCGGCCATTGGGGATGTGCTGTCCCACCTGACATCTTCTGTGGATCTTGACTTTGGTTCACACAGGCCTGTGCATGTCACCTTGCTCCCTAACCCCTCGCATTTAGAAGCAATCAATCCGGTGGCCGTGGGCAAGACACGAGGAAGGCAGCAGTCTCTGCTTGACGGAGATTACTCCCCAGAGAGCTCTGCACAGCCTGGAGACAAAGTTATTTGCCTGCAGGTATTTTGCTCACAACTTCTAACTCACCTTTATAAGACTTCCTAGACTAGCATTTGAACAGAAATGGTGTATATAAAAATATCAAACAAAACTGAATTAATGTAGAATATGAAGAATTGGGATCCTCTTATGAAGAAAGAGGAGGAAAAGGAGGATTTTTAGGTGACATACATGATAATATTGGTCTTCAAACAATTCCACTTTCTAGATTTCCAAAGTACTTATTTTAATACCCTGCATTGAGAGCCACGTGTGTCTTTCCTCGCAGACCACTTTTGCATTTAAACCATTTAGACTACCACTGCTAGACTTCTTTTAAATTAAATGGGTTTGGAGAAGAGCTATCAACATGGTTGAAAAATGTACAGGAAGGTTTAGAATTTTGTCATTTTATCGTGGTACTGTTGAAGTAAGTCTTTTTATGCCTACTGGAATTACTTCATACTCTCTTTTTTGCAGTTTCTTACACACTTTTTTCCTAAAGTATCTGTTCTTGTCTCTATTTGTTATGGCAGGAGTAGGTATAAGTCTTGGCTTACTGATATACAGCAAAGAGAGTAGCAAATCCTAATCCAGAGTTACTGTTTGTTGATTTTTCTATTCCTCTGGTGTTCTCTAATGAGATTTTCCATCTTCTTCGCTATCAGTAGGTTCATGGCGATGCTGCTTTCTCTGGGCAAGGCATTGTTCCTGAAACGCTGACCCTCTCTAATCTGCCGCATTTCAGAGTTGGGGGGAGCATCCACCTGATTGTTAATAACCAGCTGGGCTATACCACTCCTCCAGAGCGAGGAAGATCATCACTCTACTGTAGTGATATTGGTATGTATAGGTTGAATCTAGAAAGAAAATTGCCTCTTGTGTAAGGAAGGCTTTTTAACACCAGTGGGTTCCCATGGCATGCTATTGCAATGGGCTGTTCGTATCAAGTGCTATCAACCCTAGAGAATTATAATAATCTATGCCCCTTTTGATAATAATTTGAATTTATACTCTATTATTGATTATTGCCTTCTACTAGCAGAAATTCAAGTTCTAAAAATATGCCCTTCCCCATCTATTCCAGGGCAAAGGCTAATTGTCAAGGGAAAATCCTGTCATAGCTTTTACAGAATGTTATAAAATATCTGCGAAATTTAGGTGAAGTCTTTAAATTTGTCCCATGTCATTGACAGCTTTTAAAAATGGATTGTGGTGAAATGTGTAATAGATGTATTTTCAATATATCTTTTTAAATATAATGAAAACTATTCCCACCTTTTTTTTTTTTTCCTCTGAGTAAGACTTATTACTCAGCTACTCCTTCATTTTCTTGGTTAATTTATTGTCAGGTGAACTTGTTGAGCTTTTAATTGAAAGGCCATGATTAATGTTATTAATCATTTAATTGAAAGGCTCATGCCACTTCGAAGCTTAATCTTAGAAAGCCTTTTGCTTTGGGCTGATCTTTCCTGGTGATAAACAGATACTGCAATCAGCAAAACCACAGGCATAGTAGTTATTTCCTTTGTGTAAATCTCTTAGAATTGAGAATAACCTAGTGTGTGTGTGTGTGTGTGTGTGTATATATATATATATATATATATATATACTGAAGTATAATATCACCTGTTTTTCTTATGGCTTCATCAAAATGAACAGGTAGATTTCAATAAATCTGTTAAGGTATATAGCATATATTAGGAGTTTTTCTGTGGGCTGATTTTGTGGGGAGTTTTTGTCTGTTTTTTCTCCATCCTTAGTTTTTTTTTCTTCTTACCTGGTTATTGAGGGGTGTGTTACCCATATGGGGTTCAGGAGGAAATAGGATATTGGTCAGAAATGGTAGAGTGACTGAAGCATCTTAATTTACTTGAATTTGGGCAGAGAAAATACAAGAGGAGCATTGCTGAGAATGTTTGCATCCAAAATACAGGGAAGGGTGTTAAGATGTGTGAATTCTGCAGCATTCCCTTTAGTGAGAATTTTCTTTGTGCCTGGGGTGGCAATGGTTTGAATGACCACTAACTAGCAAAAAGATTTTGTCACCTGGATGGGTTTGTGGTAGTAGTTTATAGCTTAGGATAACAAGGAAACAAAACTGTTTTTGTTTGGAAGATGCAGTCAAATACTTCTTTCCCATTTCCTGAATATTCCCATTCAGATTAAGAAGAATTAAGGACTTTGTGTAGAAAATCTAATGGGAGTTTAGTGCTGGTAAAGAATTTGTGTTGAAACTGGGACAAATACAACAGGTTGAGCCAATTGCACCTTCTGGGAAGACTCCTTATCCCAGCTGTCATCACAAAAAGCATGTTTTGTAGGTTTCTTTTTGTTAAGTGCTCTACACATACATTATATCTGTTTCCATTACTCTGGAAGGGGTTGGGTGTGATTGCTGTGACTACGTTTTGCATCCCTGGGCAGGTAAAATCGTTGGATGTGCAGTTATCCACGTAAACGGGGATGATCCTGAAGAAGTTGTCCGTGCCACGCGGCTGGCAGTCGAGTACCAGCGCCAGTTCCGCAGGGATGTGATAGTGGACTTGCTGTGCTACAGGCAGTGGGGCCACAATGAACTTGATGAGCCGTTCTTCACCAACCCCAGCATGTACAAAATCATCAGGTAAGGGTACCACCACCTGCTGGGGGAACCCCAAACGTGCTTTCTTCTACATCAGCTCAGTACTTCAATAGTTCACTGTTCACTACTTCAATAGTTGAATAGTTCAACTGTTCACTACTGCAATAGTTCTTTGTATAATGATGATCCTTTGTCATACTGACAAGTCTTAATATAAGTGTAGCTACACTGGTAGCAGCCCCTGTCTGATAATGGCATGAGAATAAAGATAACCACTGGTCGTGGTTCTCTGATATGCAGCTTGATGCCTCTTGGAGACCAATCTTGCATATAGCCCTTGAATTTCAGATTCATGACTGCTGTTAATCAGAAGTCAAAGTTGCTTACTGTGTGCCAGAGGGAAAGGTAGATTGTGTGGGAGAATTTGGAGGAAACTACACACAACGTGTGTTGTGTCCTTGCCTGGTCCTGCTGGTTCCATGGAGCCTCATCTTTACAAGCATTTAAATACAGTCAGATTCCATCTTGATCCCCAAAGAAAAATACTGGCCAATGAATTCTGGTATTTTATTCTGGCATTTATGGAATCAGGTGCGTTAATTCTCAGCTAATTGTGAAATTCCACTGTCAGTTTGCCTAAAGAACAATACGTAATAGCACAGAGCCAGCCTGAATGAGAGATTTTTTTTCTGGACTTACTTTTACCTGCAGCTGCCAACTGCAGGCACTTTCTTAAAGAAAGGACTGTAAAGTATGAATCCAGGAGAATTGTTACCTTTCTGGAACTGCTAGGAAAGAAAACTTGACCCAGATTAGTATAATACACTAGGTGGTAATTTATTTTAGTTTTCCTTGGTACCTGACAGTAGTAAGGTGGCATTTCCCTGTTCTGCAGTTACACTTTTCAGGCTTAACGTCTCTGGGGTTTGATTCCCTCACCCACAGATCCCGTAAGAGTATCCCAGACACGTATGCAGAACACCTAGTAGCTGCTGGGCTCATGACTGAGGTTGAAGTGTCTGAGATAAAGACGACCTACTATTCTAAACTGAGCGATCATCTTGCCAACATGACTTTGTACAGTCCACCTCCTACCAACCTGCAGGCTCACTGGAAAGGTTTGGTCGAGCCTTCTGCTAAAATCACCACCTGGGACACAGGAATGCCTATACCGCTTCTGCAGTTTATTGGAATCAAGTCTGTAGAGGTGCCAGAAGAACTCCAGATGCACAGCCATCTCCTGAAGACTTATGCACAGGTCAGGATGTCTCTAGTTCTGTTGTTTAAAGGTATGACCCGTTACAGGGAAAAACTCTTTAACTGACAAGGCTGCCAGTTAAAGAACAGCACAATCTTCTCTAGGAAAAACAGCTTGTTCTCTTTTTCAAGGCTGCTGTTATGCAATTCTTTTATGTTTGAAGAAAAATATGTTCTCCCTCATATCTGACCATATATTTAACTTGTTATTTTAACAATATTTTGATATAATGAAGAAAAAACATGTAAAAAATACAGTTTGTTGTTCTTACAATGTTCTTACAAATATAATCTAAACTTCATTATTATAAGTACTTTAAAAAAAAAAATGAATCAGGAGATTGGTAACAGTGTATGCAGTGTGTAAAGCCAGTAATGTATGTGTTTATATATAAACTTGTGTATACATTTGGCCAAGTTTGAAAGTCACTGTGTTTGAGTCATAAGATTTTGTGCAATAACTGGCTTGGTTTGGGTTTATGAATGTTTCACTTTGATGAATGATGACCATGGGCTGGCGTCTGGTCGACAGCTGTAGAGAAGCCACGAGCTGAATATTTCAGAAGGCTGGTTCTTGCCTTCCCAGCCCCAGTGGGAAGTCTGGGTGTTATCACTCATCTGCAATTCTGCAGATAGAGAATTCTGGAGACTGAAATACTTACACCTGGTGTCTTTCACCACTACACCAAGTCTGTCAATAGCCAGCTCTCTGCTCTGCTAAGACTTTTAATATTTCAAGACTAAGATCTAATCTGTCAATCTAAAGTTTGTTGACTGGTTAATGAACAAATGGAAATACATGGTTTTGTGGTCTGCAGGGGCAGCCTTCTGCAGTTTGTGTATGTATTCCAAATCAAACCAACCAAAATTGGCTGCTGGAAAAATAGTATTTCTCTCTACAACATTTTTTTTTCCTAACTTCTAATACTGATCTGTGCCACAACAATGCATAAAGATGGAAGAAGGCAAAATAGTAACCTTTCCTTCTTGTTTACTTTTTTAGTCAAGAGTTCAAAAAATGGAGGAAGGAAAAAAGCTGGACTGGGCAACAGCTGAAACTTTAGCGTTTGGTTCCTTGCTGTGCCAAGGTAAGAGGTAACTAGACAGCAAACAATGAATTATTTTTTGCTTTGATGTCTGTAAAGTATAACGTTAAGCTTTTTAGGTGTTTCTAAGCCCAAAGATTGATATGCTGAGTAAATTTGACAATTTGTATTTGCATGGTAGCAAGAGAACATAAGTGTGAGTCCTGTATGTCACCAATACTTGTAGATTAGCTACTAAATTTCTTCAAAGAAATGTTGCTCCCTCCCATCCCCTTGAAAAGCTGGTGCTCAGTGCTGTGCACATGAGCAATGCATGCGGTATCAGTTGGGCCTCCCACATGCTTACCTTTTATAGTGTTTCATGCTGTGATTAATTTCCTCCTTCTCTAGTCTGAATTCGTGTTTCAGTTTACATGGGGTACAGGATGCACATATTCTGCAGTTTGCTTCAGCAAACTGTGTGGTTACAAACGCTTAACCCAAAATAATTTTTGGCTGTGAAGAGGAGAAGTGAGATGTGTGAGCATCTCTGTGAGATGGAGCTGATGGTGGTTAAGAATTCCCACTCAGATTTGATTTTGCTGATGAGGAGAAATCCAGGAAGTTACTGTCCTGCATGTCTTTTATTGTATGATAAACTAATCCAGTGTTTTGCTTATTGCTTGGCAAGGGTTTAATGTCAGACTAAGTGGACAAGACGTCGGCAGAGGAACCTTTAGCCAGCGACACGCGATGTTAGTTTGCCAAGAAACAGATGATACCTACATTCCTCTGAATCATATGTCCCCAGACCAGAAGGGTTTCCTTGAGGTAGGTTCTGCGGTCCACAAGACAATCTTCAAGTTGTGCTGAAAGAATGCAGATTTTAAAACTGCTGAGGCACATGTACGTAATCTGTATATTCTGACAAAGCCCAGATAGGGAGGCATAAAACCCACCTGATTGTGGGTTAAGGAAAGCCTAGCTAAAGGCAGATGACTGATTTGTGCTTTCCTGTAGCAAGTTGATAGTTGTGCATGGTTAGTTACCCTCTTTAACAAGGGGTTCTGTCTTTCCTTGAGAGATCACCTATTATTTTTCTTCCCTCAGTGCCTTCCTTCAAAAGCAAAAGAGAGGTGACCGTGAATCGTGTTTAGGAGTGCATGTCCTCAGTGTGCCTAGCACTGATGTGCCTGGTTCCAAAGGTTCTTAACCCTGGGTTGTCATCTCTCTCACCTGCCCCTCCCAACAATTTCCTTTCTGTTAGGTGAGTAACAGTCCCTTGTCTGAAGAAGCTGTGCTTGGTTTTGAATATGGAATGAGTATTGAGAGCCCTAAGTTACTGCCAATTTGGGAAGCTCAGTTTGGAGACTTCTTTAATGGAGCCCAGATAATATTTGACACTTTCATCTCTGGAGGTGAGTGTACAAGGAGCTAATTCATATATTTACAATATATCATTTGTAGCCAGTATAGTTTTAGAAAATCCTTTAGTTTTAAAGTAAAAGGGCAATGTGTTGAGAAAAAGAATTGTTTTCTCAATAAGTCTTGTGAGCTTGCCTACTTGATCCCAACTACAGTGCAGATTTTCCCTGAAGACAGTCTGTCTAAAAGGAGAGACCTCATCCTTGACAGAAAAGTTATTCTGAAAGCACAGTTGATTATGTTAATGACCTTTCTTCCCTCCTACCCCTATTTATTTTACAGTGTGCATATATTTTTAATAGCTTCTTAGGATGTACTGTTCCTTCATGAGGCATATGAAAAGTTCCTGAAGCAATATAGAAAGAAAATAGTGATGATTTAAAAACAAACAGAAAAAAAGTGCTAAAACCAACCTCTTGGTTTGACTTTTGTGCATTTTCTGAATGCTCAGATGTTGCAAAAATACCTTTCGGGGTTGAAACAGGCTGAGGAAATGCTAAGATGGATTTCTGGAGTGGGGTTCCTTGAGTGTAAGAGTCCAGAGTATTGGCATCTAGTTTCAGTTAGGCCTCTATGTTCACTCTGTAACCACAGATGGTAATTGCCAGAGACCCTCTCATCCCACCCATCCTCATGAATTACCTCCTGGATTTGACTGTAATCTCTTAAATAGTGCAGGGGCTTTGACAGAGCCCAGGGGAGCTCACCTCTGGCTGGCGTTGCTGCATTAGGCAGGACTGGCTGACGGGCTGCTGCCTGCTTCATACCTGCACAGGACTAAATGACAAGGCATACAGAAAAGATGCCATGAGTTATGGTCAGAAGCTTTCATACTGAGGAGAAGGATTTTGTGGGTGCCTGTTAATAAGGAGGACAGTGCCATTAAGAGGATTTTCTCATAATGTGTTGATGTTTCCGAGTAAGTTCTAAAACTTTCACTGCTCAACATGAAGCCTTAAGAGCCCTGAAAGCCCAAAGTTTCATGACAATTTCAGAAACATCAGATCATCTTATGCATGCTGTTTCACAGCTGTGAATCTCACAGCTAAATACAACAGCATGTTTCTGGTTTGTACTTAATGATGTGGAAATCAGCCATACTCTTATCTTCCTCAGTAGTTCATGCAAAGTAACGACTGTTTGGGGGCTTTATGTTCTGTTGAAATCATTTTTCCTTCTTTCTCATTGTTTGTTTTAGGGGAGGCCAAATGGCTCCTGCAGAGTGGGATAGTAATTCTTCTTCCCCATGGCTATGATGGTGCAGGCCCTGAGCACTCATCCTGCCGGCATGGAACGTTTCCTGCAGGTACCCCTCCTCATCTCCCTTCTCACACTCACGTATTCTCCATCACAGCACTGGCAAACAGTGCTCTGGGAGTCTTGCCACAAAATGCCATGTTCCTGATGTACTTGTAGGTGACTTCAGAAGCTGGAGACTTACCAGGATCTCACCATAGGAATGGGCTGGGCTGAAAGTAGAGGGAGAAAGGGGACAGAGGTGCAGGTCTACAAGTGGTGAGGAAGCAGCATTGGTTTAAATACTACCACAGCAGCTCTGCTGCAAGATTCTGGTTGAACTTTGTAATAATAGATGCTTGTTGTTTCTCTTAGATCTCTGTCACCTGCCCAACCGTGTGTGTGGTAACATGAAATTTTGTAATGAGATTTGCACAGTGTTTGCAAAGGCCCCGTGCCCTCTGCAAACGTCCCTGGTGGGGTGTGCTTCAGTACTGCCTGCTGTCGCTTTTCTGATTGCCGCTCTTCAGCAATGTCCTGTACCACAGAATGAGTCCAGTAGCAAGACAGAATTGCTCTATTGCAAATAGCAGACCTTTAATGGGCACTTCATAGAGAAAGCATTTTGGGGTTGGCATTGTAAGTGGGCAGCCACCCGCCTGTGCAAGTCACTTACGATGTTCCCACTGTGCACAGACTGTACAAGCAGAACACTGGGCACTATTAAATAGCAGTAAGTAAATTTGTGGCACATTTTTGCAAAAAAAAAAAATAAAAAAAAATCTGTTGTTATGTCATTGTGACTGTAGTAAGTAAATTAAAGCCTTTTTGATTGAATAATGGCTTAGGGAAGAGCTTGGAGCATCTTTAGGGGTGCTGCCATTCTGATGAAATTGTCATGACTGTCCACTGTTAGAAGAACTGGAATGCCTTGGTTATGGTGTAGTTGAAGGAGGCCTTCAGATACAGTATTACCAGGTAAATGCTAAAGCCATTTCTCTGAAATTGCTTTTCCCTTGCTGTCAGCATTTGAATTGAGATACTTGTCTCCTATTGTTACACCAGTAAGCATGTCTTATGGCTTAAACTCCTGTATATTTAGCTCACTAATTCCTTCTTGACAAGTTATTGCTATGTCCCCCGTAGATGTGTGACAGCTCAGAAGGAGGAGTTGATGGGGACCAGGTGAACATGTCGATTGTGCATCCCACCACCCCAGCTCAGTATTTCCATTTACTCCGGCGGCAAATGGTCCGGAACTTCAGGAAACCTCTCATTGTTGCCTCTCCCAAAGTGCTACTCAGGCTCCCTGTAAGCTAGAAAACTTCCTTTTTCTTTTTTTCGTCCTCTTCTGCGTTCTCTTCCCCTTTCTCTTTGCTTTTCCTCTGTGTTCTCCTCTCTGTTTTGAGGTGAAATCAATGGGGTTTTGCCTGTTAGGGGCAGGGTAGGTTGAGGATTAAAGCTGGGTGGCGGTGAGCGTGAAGTAAGAGTGATTCTGGGTATGGTGATGTTCTTCAGAATCTTACTGTTCTGTCTTTCACCTGTGGGAGTGGGAATGGGAGGGGAGAGGGAATGTATCTTTTACTTACCAAAACCCTGTCCCAGACAGGGCCAGAGAGAAAAGGGACCAAGATTTGGTAACTTCTGACTCTTCCCCCATTTAGGCTGCTGTGTCAAGTTTTGAAGAAATGGCTCCAAAGACAACGTTCAAACCTGTCATTGGTGACTCCTCAGTAGATCCTAAAAGGTAGCTCTACTTTCTTACAAGGGAAGCTCAGAAAGGAAGTCCCTCTCTTCTACCTAATAGCTCAAGGCTGAGGTGATGTGAAAGATGTGACTTTTTTAGGGGGGATAGTATCTGTATGGTGAGTGACTTAGGGTTTTACTTGTTTCCATCCTTCTTCTCTGCTTACCTGTTGGTAGTTATCATACCCGTTTTCATAATAATAAAGTGTTCAGGCTTTCAGCCCCTGTCTCCAAGGAGAGGCTGTGATCAGAGTTACTAATCTGATGGATGCTGTTGTGAACCATGGCCATTAGATAGCAGTCACTGGGAGCAGCTGTTCCATGAAGAGAAGAATTTTTGTTCTGCTGTTGGGACACTTGAATTGATGAAGTGAAGCTCGGGCAATAACATCTTTGTATGTGCATTATTTCCCTATCTTCAGATGTGAATTTGGAGCATCCTGTTCATGAAGGGCAATTCATATTTTTCCCTTCTAATGTTTTTATCTGTTCCCAGTCCTAGTAGTATAATCACAAGGCTGAAAGTATCTTAGCATCTTTGGTTTTTTAAGTGAGATGGTGAGGTTTCTCTCCTTGCCTTTGTCCATTAAGCTCAGACAACTAAGATCTTTCTGATTACTGGACACGATTGCATATCTCCTGAAGGCAGTTCCTCTTAGGCATGGGAGAGAATTGTCCTCTGGAGGTACTTCTCTCCCACTCTGTTCTGTTCTCTACAGAGAGAGCACAGATAACTAACTTAGATGGAAAGTTTAATTTTAGATAGTTAAAAGGCTGAGTTAAAGCTGAAGAAACAGGACATTTGGGCCAGTGGCCTACTGTGCCCACAGGTTAGTTTGTCAGCTAGTTTGTCAGGGAGTGGGATGGAAAGGAAGACAAAAAAGAAAAGATGGTCTAGGTAGCTCTAGGTCTAGTTCAGCTTTCGTACAACTCAATTAGTAGATCGTCTTTAAAGTTTGGCTGGTTGCTTTTATGAAAGGTGTGAAAATGTTCTGCAGAGAGTTTCTGTGAAACACTAAACTTGGAAACGCTCCTATTTTTCTCTAGTGTCACCCAAGTGGTGCTCTGTTCCGGTAAACATTACTACGCTTTGGTGAAGCAAAGGGAGACGCTAGGAGAGAAACAGCACAACGTAGCTATTTTGAGACTGGAAGAACTGTGTCCTTTCCCCCTGGAAGCTCTACAGCAAGAGTTGAACAAATACAGCCGTGCCAAAGGTAAGCAAAATTTTTACCTTTTTCTTTCTGGCCTCTGTGAAATTCTAAACTAAATCTGTTGCCTGCCTTTTCAGATGAAGAGCTGTAGTAGTGTTTTCCTCTTTGCTCTTCCCCCCATATATCTGGTGTTTCTGGAGTGGGATAATACAGGTTTTTGCCACGTGTGCTAAAAGAGTTTGTCTCTGCTATTGTTAGCTTCTCTAAACCACTGCTGAAAATCAGAGTGAACCATGTGGGACATTTTTGCGTTGATCTTTTCTACCCAGTCCTTTAAGTATTATTTGAAAATGATGGTAAAATAGAAGAACATACCTACAGCATGCCCTCATGGTGGACATGCTTTTAGTTTGACTGCAGAAAGTGATGACTTGTAATGAATTCAGTCTCACAAGAATTCATTTCAAAGAAAGTACCAAGGCAAAAAAGTCAGAGGTGCTACAACAGAAAAACATAACTTTCTTGAGCTAAACAGTGCGCTTCTAATGTACCATTTTCCTTCCTTTAGTCTTCACCTGGAGTCAGGAAGAACCACAGAACATGGGTCCATGGTCCTTTGTGTCACCACGGTTTGAAAAGCAGCTGGGGGTTAAGGTAAGATGTCCCCATGGTGCTCTGGTCTTCAAAATGAACTTTGAAGTTATTCTTGATGGCAAAATTCTGTTATGCTTACTTGTAAAACCTAGTGCATAAATCTTAACCTAGTGCCTAAACTGAATGTGTGTTCTGATTTTAGCTACTTATGCTTTTTATAGCACCATTTAGTAGCACTGAGCAGGCCTGGAGCTTTCTTTTACCAGGTGTGTAGTCTAAGTAGACAGGGTGATGAAAGATCCCAGGTAGGAAACAACATGCTTAAGGTGCCACAGTGAGCAGGAGGAGAATCTGAAGCTGCTGTTTGCTGCAGCAGATTGAACACTGTAATGGTCTTGGAACTGTAATCACAGGGAGATGAAGGAAAACTTCCTGCAGCACCTCCAACTGGAACTGCCCAGTATCTGACAATAGGTATCACCGTGGCATCAGAGAACCTCAAGATGTGGCACTATGTTTGTGCTTCACTAATCTTTTCCTCCTGGCTCTAATTTCAGCTCGCTCTTGTGAGTAGACCTCCTTTACCAGCCCCAGCAGTTGGCATTGGAACCCTCCACCAGCAGCAGCAGGAAGACATTCTTACCAAGACGTTCATCTAAATTTTCAGCGGACAGCCTACTCGTGTAGTCAGTCATGTTTGTTGCCGTCCTCCTGCGAAGAAGAACAAAAGCCAGATCCTTAGGACTCTTAATTTTCCAAAATGGGAAAGAAAATGGAACAAGTTCTGTATTGACGAAGCAATTTTTTCATACGGGGACATACCTAAAGATGAAAGCTGATGCCTGTTACTCTAGATAGTTTTTTTTGTTCTTTTGTAGCATTTTCTACAAGAGATCTTTTAAAAGTTTTTAAAAATTGCAGTCCAGGGGGAAGATCAGTGAGGTAGGTATAAAATACCTTGTATCCGATCACTTATCTGCATTTGTCAATTCCCTGGGATGGTGTATGTGTGGAAACAGCTTCTCATTTCCACAGAAGTGTTAGTGCTGTTTGGTTGAGTAAATGCTTCCCCGTGACTGGGAATGAGCCATTTCTATTAGCAGAGTGTTGTGGATTTTCTCATTTCTTTTCCTGTGGACTTGCAGTTAAATCTGTGCAATTGTTGGTATTCTTCTAATGTGCATAGCCTGAAGGGATAAGGGTTGTTAAAGCAGGATTCCTGGGGGCACCTAGCAGGATCTCTCCTGAAGGCTTCAGGCACTGGTTTCTTCTCAGGAGGAGAAGCAGTGCTTTCACATCAAGCTTGCAGGGTGGGAAGTGTGCTGCAGTGAGGCTCCTGCTGTATTTTAGAACCCAGTTTTGTAGAAGCCAATCAGTTGGGCTACTCAAAGAGTTTGGCTACTAGTTTGGTACCCAAGAGGCTACCCTGAAAAGTGATGTTTCTCCCTACCGAGAAAATTCTTCTCAGTGTCCACTGTCTATTTTCTTAATTGTTTTTGAGGGCTTGCCTCGGTTCAGTTTCTTCTTTCCTGGTTCCTATACAAAATCTTGCTTATGCTGTAAGAAGGCTGAAAGTGTGACCAAGAGCAACAAAGAGTTCAAAACTGTGGCAAGACAGATAAAGCTGGCTGAAAAGAGTTTGAGCAACCCTTGTTGAAAGCTATAATAGCGAGGCCTATTTTGAGTACGCTTAGAAGCTTGAAGGTTGAGGGGTGGCAGAATTAGAAGGTCAAACGGGCTTCTCACAAAAAAAAAAAAAGCTGTAGTAAAAAAAACCTCATGGCTTATTTTGGTTTGGTTTTTAGTTTGGGCAAAGTTCCCATGTGGAGGCATGTTGTGAGGCTCCTGAGCAAAACCTTTTCTTCGCAGTGAAAAGCTGTGGTATCAAAACAGGTTATAGAAGAAAACATGTTAAAGAAGAAATAAGTGACATGGATAGCAGCAAATGGCAACAGGAGGTTAGTGAACTGGGTTTTCTGAAGGAGTTCAAACAGATACTGATGTTCAAGCCACATGAAGTTCCTAAAACACAGGCAGCAGAAAAAAGCTTTCTCTTTTTAATGCTGTGGCACACTTCAAAATTTTGTGAGAATATTGATTGGTTCCCAAATTGATGTGTGTTTTTAAAAGTAATATGGTTTATTAACTTTCAATCTATTTATTACCTTTTTTTTTTTTTTTTTTTTTTAACTGAAAAACTTTCAGGAAACTGAAATAGAGAACCAGACTACGATGAAGTATTAAAATCATGGTCTCCTACTTGCTGATATGAAGCCTTCCCTATGAAGGAATAAAGTAACCTTTGCTGGAGGCAAGCCAGTAGTTTAACATTTAAATGACTTGCCATCCCGAATGTGCTTTACAAATAATGTCCGTAACTTCTCAGGCAGAATTTCACTTTAATTTATGAAGTGCTGCAACAGAAAAACTATGCATTGGAGCTCTCTGGATCCCTGCCATTCAATGAAGAGAAAAAAACATAGTCTTTGCATCTAAAGCCCACTCTTTTCAGACTCCTTTTGTGTGTGGGTTTGGAAACTACGCCTGAGTATGGTTGCCTTTTTCCCCCTTTTTCTGAAACAGAAGTTCTTATCCTTGGTAATAAGTTTCCTAGAAGCATGGCTTTTCTCATGAGCAGCAGTCAACAGCTTGCCATTTTTTGTATTCTGTTAAGCTGAATATATACAATTTCATATATTCTTTTCTTTAAATATGCCATAGGAAAAACAAACATGCAAACAATGTGTTTTTGTTTGTTTGTTTGTTTGTTTGTTTGTAGCACCTTCTTCAGGGGGAAAATGGTCAGGATTTGGTTCCTACTTGAAGAATAGGTAGTCAGGTGGGACTCCTGCTGTAATCTCTCTCTATTCATAGAATCATTTAGGTTGGAAAAGACCTCTAAGATCATCTGATCCAACCTTTAAGCCCCCGCACCTGAAGCAGTGTGAACCTTGGAAGGGCTGCAGGTGGATGTGTACATTTTGTTAGCAGTAATGTTTGAATCATCTTTCAGTGGAATGGTCAAGGTTTTTCTTGCATGACAGGGAAACCTGTACAAATGAAAAACTAATTCTAACTCAGAATCCTAAATGACAGAAAAGAAGCTTAGATGCACAACTTGCACTAACTACAACAGAACCTTATGTTTCTACAGAACCAAGAACCACGCAGGTTTCTAGGGATTTTCTCATGCTGAGTTAAAGAAAGACTGTCTGTCTAGATTTTTCTTTGTTCCTTTTCAAATCTTTTATTTTTCACAGAAACATCAGAATTTACAGTATTCTTCATATGGCACTAAAATAAATAATAAACAGTTAAAAAGCCAGAGCTCCTCTAGGCGCGTGGCCTTTTGGCTTTGGAGAAGCCCTGTTCCAGCAACAAGACAAGGTGAGCAGGAGAGGAGAGTGACAGCAATGCTAAAACAAGTTCTGCTGAGCCCTCATAAGCAAGGAGTGACCACAAGACTTCCCCTTCTTGCTCCTTCTTCTGAAACCCATCTCCCTCCACCCAGAACCATTCTCCTTTCCTTTATGATGTGTGGGATCTCTGCATTCAGAGGACTACTGTCAGTGCCAGCCAGAGCTCCACAAGGCATTTGTAGAGGCTTCTTAAAGGCTCTGTTACACCACTGCCCTTTTCCTTCTTCTTGTGTGACTTTTTCAACTTTACATGTTTCGAAGAAATGCTAAAAAAAAAAAAAAAAAAAAAAGCCCTTTGCCTGCTAGTTGCCAAACTGCTCTCTACTCCCACCTGGTGAGATATTTCTGTAGCCAAATGCTACCCCAGCAGTTCCTGGCTGGAAAGCCTTAGCACTCACTCCCTGAGGGAAGGTTTCAGCACAGTTGCCAGCTGGGGGAAAAAGAAATCAGTATTGGGAAGCAAGAGATAAATGAGCACAACATTGACTTTAAGCAGGAGAATAATGAAGACAAATGGCAAAAGGAGGCAAAAGCTGCCCTCAGTCTTGACTGCCCCAAGGCAGTGCTCCCATCACCACAGTATTTTCCCCAGCATTTTGTCTTTTATGGTCTCAGTGGCAGTATGAATTTGGCACCTCCCCATGTCTCCCAAAGTTGTTTGGGGGAGCATGCCTGAATAAACCAAAGCCACTGTGCACAAAACACCTTTTTGAAGAGGCAAGTGGGGTTTAACCTAATAGAATACAGCCGAGGGAACAGCTCCCAAAAGCTGCTCTGAAGCACAGTTTGGTATTGTACCCTAATTAACTCACTCATTCAGTCATTCATCTATATGACCCAGAAGTAACCTCTGTAATCTCGGTTCTGTAGCCTGTTTCATGTAACTTCCTTATCTCATCACAGTGACGTGAAGTCATATTTCTTTCATTTTGCTGTAGCAAACTTCACAACTTTTTAGGCATTCTGAATAGCATTATCTAATCAAGACACATTCTGGTTTAAACTTCTGCTCTGAGTGCCCAGGGATTTCTTTCCACGGTCTCTGAGCAGTGTACTCATCCACATAGAAATCCCTTTTCCTGAGAACAGCTGGAGCTCTGCCTGTCCTTTACTTCTTACTGTTTTTTTTACCATAAATATGTAATAGCAGCAGCTGCACTTACAGAAATATGGTTATATTTTGCTTGGATATAGCAGAATACTTGGGGTGCGTGCTTCAGTTTTTCAGAGGCTTTGTCCAAGCAGGCGCTGGTTGTGCTTGGTGCTTTTTGTACAAATTATCTCTCATACTCTGCTCACAAAGAACCTCTGTATCAGTAAGTAGCAAAAGGAGGCAGAAGAGTAGCGTTACTTTGGCTGCAGCTGTAGCTAAGAAAGTTGTAGAGCATAAACATCACCTTTGACTCCAAACTGATGGTTACATAAAGCCACATTTTCTCACTATGACAGCACACAAAAGGGAAGAACAGACCCAACATTTTGAGTTTCCCATTTCCTGAACCTGACCTTGTGATGCACCACTCACGCACAGGCTGTGCAGGTTTATCTAGCCAAATAAAGGACACTTGAGTGTTCAGACACAGCTATTACTGTAGCGCTGCTCAGTCCCCAAGCCCAGCACTGCTGTGCCATGTAGCCACCCAGGGATGCTGGGGTAAAGAAGAGAGAGCTTTGGCGCTACTCTCATGGTGTCGCTGATGCAGATTTGCTGCTCTCTTTTGATGCAGAATGCTGCTCTTTTGTGATGGCCAACAGCTACAAGGAGCAAGACAAAGCCCTTGCTGAGTGAGATGTTAACACCAGTTTCCCCCACTGCTTTTGGATGCACACAAAGCTGTTTTCCTTCTGCGTGCCTCTGCATGCAGACTTGGCTCACCCTGCACGAGTGCTGGTTTGCTTTTGCAAGGCTGGGACTCGTTGCCTTTAGAGGCCCTCAGTGCCCCTGCGTTCAGACTGGGTACCCAGTACCATACAAAATCCTGAGCAGAGAAGGAGGCTTTTGGGCTTATGTCTGATGGAGATCACCTTTACTGCTTCTGTGGTGATACACTTGTGAATTTACCCAATTTTAAAGCATTTCAGAAAAGAGAAATTGTGAAAGCGCCAGATGGGGGTGCTGACTGACAATGGGAGTGAGTTTTCTGTGTGTGCTCAGGAAAGTGCCAGGTGAAACACAATGAAGTTGGGTGAGTGGGTAACAGAGTAGGACCCAGTCTGGACATGAGAACTTTTGGGTCATTTAAAAAGTAGAAATGAATCTTCATGTGCTGTTAGAGAGTAAAAAACAAACAAACAAACAAAAACAAACAACTGACTAGAGAGGAAGTGTTACAGCATTTGCACCTTGTGGCATGCGAGATGAAATGTACAAGTCAAGGACACATGCTCAGGATTGTCAGGTGGAATTGCAAGACTGGAAGAAAAGACATCAAAGGAAAGAGATGTTAGGTCGAGCATTTCATTAAAGACAGCGGTAACTCAGTTACAGAAGAAGAAACATCAGGAAAAGAAATACAATAAATATTTTAGTAAATGATGTTATTTTAGATTTGAAATAAATGTAGTCTGAAATTTGAAGGCTTACAATTTTGAACACCCCAGAAGCATTCATTTGGAACAAGCAAAGAAAACAAATTTGCATTTTTTTTAAACCTCAGTCACTGGGAACCCGTTGTTGATGATGCCGTGATATTTCTTCAGCATACCTGCAGTGGTGTATCTGTGTTAGTACAGATTGGATCTTTTATCAATCATCAAAACAGGGACCAGCAACTTACAGGTATGGAGGTTTGCTGTGAGTGAGGACCTGTAATTTAAGGTCTGCGTCAGCCATGGCTAAAAATCTGAACACATGTTAACTGCAAAAAACTACCTGGAGCTCAGCTATTAACCCAGACAGTCTACAAGTAAAACACAAGGCCAATTAATGATGAATACTTATGCTTTAAATCACACATAAACCCTGCAATAAATTCTAATAAACATAATTTATAGACCATCACCTGCTCTAACAGAAAGCTCCTTAGAAGGGTTTGATACTGGTTTCTGTGATACCCATTCCCACTCCAGATATTCTCATATTTCAGGGTCAGTTTACCAATGTACCCGTAATATTATTAAACTGGGACATACCCATGATTTTATCAAACTGGGATGTGGGTGACTGGGGGCACCAGTCAGACACAGCAGGCACACACACCGCTAATCTTTATTTCTTTTTAATAACCCGGCAGAGAGATGCAGCCAGGCTGGGCTGCAAGCAGCAGCCTCTCACTTCAGAAAACAAACCGCTGCGTTTACCAGCTGGGCACTGCTTTGATCCAGCAAACATGCCACCGAGGAAAGCAACCCCAAAACTCAGGAGAAATTAGCAATAATTAACGAGCGCCGGAGCTTCCTCGCCTCAAGGGGCGGGCGGCGAGGGGCAGCCGTGAGGCGCCGCCGCCTCAGCCCGGCCGCCAGCGGGACCTGAAGAGGCTTCGCTCCCCTTCCCCTGGCTCCTGAGAGAGGAGGAGGAGGAAAAGGAGGAGAAAAAGGAGGAGAAGGAGGAGGAGCGGCTGCCGCCATGCCAGCAGGGAGGAGCCCTGCGCCCGGCCTCACGTCACGGCGGCGGCTGAGGGAGGGCGAGCAGCGGTGACAGCGGCTGAGGCAGCGCCGGCCCCGCCGCCGCCATGGGCAGTGAGTAGCGGGGCTGGGGGCGGCCGTGGGGATCCTCCTCGCTGTCCCCCCTGAGGGGAGAACATGGCCCGGGGGGGTCAGGGCAGGACGAAGGGGGGCGTCGGTAGCACCCACTGACAGGGCGAGGGTGGTCGGAGATTTTTTGGGGGTGGGTTTTTATGCCCCCCCCGCCCCCCGGCGCGCCATGGGGCGTGAAGCCAGGCTGTGGGATGAGCGGTGAGGGGGGTGAAGGAGAAGCGTGGCCCAGCCGGGAGTGTGAGCATAAATCACGGCATTTCGACCCAAAAAGCTGCCTAACCTCGCTCCGCAGCCTAACGAGTGCGGTTTGGTGGAAGGGGAGCCCGCTGGTGGGTTTTGGTGGAGAGCCAAATATGTGTGTGTAGGGGGGGGGGGCTGGCGATACCCTGCAGGTTTTGGCAGGGAAATTGCCCACCTTTGTACATTCTGGATTTATTTTTTATTTTTATTTATTTTCTTTTTCCAGAAGAAGAGCTCAAACTGTTGAGCTTTTCCGTGTTTTTAAAGGAGAAGCTGTGAGCAGAGATGGACCAAAGTTAAAGTAAAATCCCACAGAGTTCTGGCCAGAATAGGTGTTGCAGTGATTTAAGTTAAAATTTCTAAAAGTATTTGAGTGATTTTTTTTCTTTTCTCCCACCTACATGCACATGTAAACCACAAGGTGCTGGTCTCTGGGTGGGTACTCTTATAGCATCCTTTGCTGCTGTGTATAGCAGGCACAGACCAGTATGTATATTCCATTTATATATATATATGGAATATATTCCATTTATTTTTAAATGGAATATTATTTAGTTCACTTCTTGTGCTATATCCAGTGTTACTTCTCCCCTCAGATTATTAGAGGAATAGATAGGCCAAACCTGTGTTAAAAGAGGATTCTCTTCCACAGTTTTTACCCATTTTTCAACAGCTTCAAGAAAAGGGAGTTATTTTTCAGACGTTGAATTAGAGTGTGTGTTGATGAAATAATTGCCTTATAAATTGTTCTCACTCTTTTTTTTTTTTCTTTCCCTGTTTTTCTTTTTGCGGTGTGTTTTTCTGTACCAGTTAAATTCCTGGAAGTTATTAAGCCCTTCTGTGCGGTTTTACCTGAAATCCAGAAGCCGGAAAGAAAGGTGAGTGCCACATCATGTTTTTATTTGTATTGATTCATAGATAAGACTGTTGTGCCATTCGAGTCCACGCTACAATACTAACACAGACTGTG